TGGGTGGCTCAGTTGGTTAAGTGGCTGCCTTCAGCTTAGGTCATGATCCCAAGGTCCTGGGATCAAGTACCGCATCAAGCTCCCTGCTGAGGGAGCCTGCTTCTCCCTCTCCTTCTGCCTGCCACTCCCCCTGCTTGTACTCTCTCCTTCTGTCAAAATAAAATCTTTAAAAAAAAAGATATTTAAAAAAAAAGATTTGGTCTACGGCCATACCACCCTGAACGCGCCCGATCTCGTCTAAAAAAAAAGATTTGTACAAAAATATTCCTACCAGCTTTATCCATAATAGCCAAAAACTGGAAACAACCCAAATGTCCATCAACAGAGCAATGGATGAATAAACTGTAGTGTATTCATTCAGTTTACACAATGAAATACTATTCAGCAATAAAAAGGATGATATACAAATTTATGCTCTACAAATATGACCCACACAGGGCAAAAGACACACTGAAGGATGGTCAGAAGAAGGAAGAAAGTAGTAAGTAGGATCTTACAACAGTAGATGTCATAGAAAGTATTAACATTTAAATAGTAAGTACAAAATGAGTTCACAAAGAGAAGTCAGAGAAAAGTAGAAAGCTTCTTATCAGGAATAAGGAGTTTCAAGGAGAAAGTAAGTTCCCAGTGTCAATATAACAGAAATCAAGCAAGATGAACAAAGAAAAATACCTATCAGATTAAGCAATGAGCAACTCTGATGATGTAAAAGTGGTGTGGTAAGAATATACACCAGAAAAAGGATACTGATAAATTCAAACAAACAAGTGAGGATCAAAGAAATAAAGGCAGGTCAAGAAGGCAAAAGCTAGAGAGCAACATAATATAAAAGGCTACAGTATTTCTTTAACATGAAAAGCAAAAGTAAACGACTACACCTAAAAATCCCCATCTATTATCTCATCCAAAACATGTACTATTGAGTAAGGCAGTCGTGGGCGTGACTGTCCCTGCATATTCCCGCTGAGTGTGAAAGTCTGCAAAACTTATCTACTTCCTGATACTGAGTGGATTCTTGTAATAAGTCACCTAGGCAATAAAGAAGGTCAAGGTTACCACAGCACATAACCATACTCCAAGGGAGAGGTGAACTACCTTGTTTGTTGCCTGCTACAATGTTTGCTGCTTGCTAAAAAACTGCTGGAGCCTTGGTCCTCAGTTCCTCCATTGTGACCCACTACATGCATCCATCTAGACTCATCACCTTCATGGGAACTGGGTACTAACGAAAACCTACACAAACATGCTGATGTTCATGCCACTTGCTGTGTTATGAGTAATAACGCTAGTGTTTCTGATCTGGCCATCTCCTGTTTTTTACTAGCAACAATTAAAAATTAATAAAACTAACTTATTAGCCTATAAACATGGTAAAATCAAATCTTAAGACTTTTCACAGTACTTGACATGAGCAACAAAGAACTAGCTGATATTCATGTTGCTATATAAAAAAGAGACACAAAAGTGGTCACAAACAGTAACTGAAATATATATAATACTTTATAGTTTATATACCTTAAGTTATTCATAATATTATTTATCATGTAACGGCCTCGGTATTTTATCTTTTACATATATTACAACATATAATTCTCATAATAATCCTTATGAGGTAGGTACTAATATGATGAAACTGAGGCTTCAAATGTTAAGTAAATAAGCTAAGGGCCCACAAACTGTAAACAGCACAACCTAAATACAAGTCCAGATGCCTTTAAAATGTGTTTTTTTTAAAACCATCAATAATCAATCTCCTTCCCAGCTGATTTACCAAGGACAACTCTTAATTCTCCAGATATAAGACCAAAGTACCTAGACCTTTACAGTATGAATACTTCATTATGTTCACAGAAAAATTAACATTTTGGAAATGTTAATCTTAAAATTTTCTTCAAAATTCTGTCATCAAAATTTAGGAAGAGCTAGGTCAAACAAATCCAAACCATTGTCTCTACTGCAGAATTTCTCATGGTTTTAGTATGCAAATATATGTTTTAACATGCTAATGTAAGTCATAAATCTTCTAAGATAATCTATTATCAGCATTCTGGAAAAGAGTTTGGGAAACTACTGCTACAATCAACAATGCCAACTTTACTGGTATACAGAATTATCTTTGAAACCTTAGTAGTCAGCTTGGTTCAGGTACATAATCCTTTAAAAGAGAGAACATCAAAGTTAGAATGTGGCCTAACAGCTTCAAGCCAAATCAACTACTACATAGTTTGGCAACATTGCTCATTTTTTACCAAACAAGACTTAATTCCCCATAACACAAGGAAATTATATAGCATACCTAGCTTTTTCTGAAATTAGAAGGGTAATAATTAGGCTTTTTGTAGCTCTACATTGTTTTACCTAACAAAATTCAGATCCCCTATAACAAGGGAAGGGAAGAAAAGACCACAGAAAAACCAGTTTCCACATAAAACCTGTGCATTGGTTAATGGTAGCGAGTCATCCTGGTGGGCCTGCGCATCACTGCCAGCTTTCCAATATGGAAAAGCTAAACTGTAACTCTATCACTAAGTGATAAATTATCATCACATACTATTTCACCCCTAAGTATATCTGCCCGTCTCCTACTTAGTCATCTCTTAACATTCAACAACTGAAACGGTTTACTGCTCAGTGATCTACTAATCATTCCAGAGTTTTCAAAAACTCTGAGCTAGAGACAGCCACACAGCAGTTGTGTTCATCGTATAAACAAACCAGAGCTGCAGATCTGTCCCGGGCCAAATAGTCTAGGAGACACCAATTCAGCTGCTTCTTTGGAATAACTAGATAGAGTTATTCACCAGGCTATTCTCAACAAAACCAAGAGTTATACTAGACAAAGGAAATAACTATGTAATTACAAAGCAACAGGAGTTAACATCCAAATTTAAACTACGCTAAGATTCTCAAACACTTGCCCTACAAAGAAAACCCACTAATATCATACCTACTTAAAGGGAACAGTAACTTTATTTTTTTTATATAGAAAGCTGGAATTAATGGATTTTATTTTTTTAATTTTTATTTTTTGTTGTTATGTTAGTCACCATACATCATTAGTTTTTGATGTAGTGTTCCATGATTCATTGTTTGTGTATAACACCCAGTGCTCCATGCAATAGGTGCCCTCCTTAATACCCATCATCAGGCTAACCCATCCCCCCACCCAAGAGTAACTTTAAAAGAACAAATTTTTGCCCTCTGCTCTGAAGGAATGCTTCCACCCAAAGTCTATTTCAAAGTCTACGTAGGACACATCTCCAGTTGAGGGGGAAAAAATGAAATAAAATATGATATGTCCACTTATTGTGAAGAAAGTTATAGAGAAAAGGAAAAAAAATCTTAAAACTGGGAGAGTAAATTTCAAAATACTGGTGTTAGGAATTTTTTTTTAGTAATAATTAAGTCAAGTCTTAACTAGTCATAACTACTGAAAGTGAATGTGATAATATAATTATTTTAAGGCACAGCTATATCAATTAAAAATGTTTTGAGTAGTGACTTGGGTATGAGAACATGGTTGATTCTGATAAGCAAAATCCCCAAAGACAAAGAATTCAAATCAGTTAATGCCATTAAGGAAACAAATAGGATCAAGAAAAGAGATTAGAAAAAAACCACGGGAAACAGTACTCATTATTAACCTACTGAATTTTATTTTAGCTAACATCTGCAAAAATAATAAAAAATAAACTACCAAAAGTTACACTGACAACTTGAAAAATGCCTTCCATACTGACAGCAGTATTTTCCAAACCATTCTGAAAATACGGACAAATTTTCACAAAATTCAACATAGATCATTTGAAGATTTACAGGATGTAAAGCAGATGAAATGAAAGCATCATGAGCTTTTACCTTAGAAAAATGCAAAATTGCATACATTGATTGGGATTTCATCTTTCAGTAGCCTTCATATTTGTCAAAATGCAATTATTAAAAGAAATTCTTAGTTCATAATTAAGGCTCACATGTGCAAATACATATTTGTTCTATTATATCTACATTTGTAAAATTTCACAAACAGTACTATTAATTGCACCATCAATGCTACATATTAACGTTTTCCTCCTCTTCCTTAGTAAAAAGGTTTAACTTAAGTACCATCTGAAAGTTTATATTGTAACTCGCTACCTAGTTACAACAGAAGAGTCAACTATTGCCGAGACCCTTTTTTAAAGAGTGTTTACAATAGAAGGCCCCAATGCCAGGACCATAATTAATACTAGAGGAAAAACTACGTTGGAAAAATTGACACTGAAAAATAGAGAGGGACATTTTTCAGTCATTTTAACATACAAAGGCTTATGTGGTTGAACTGGAAATCCCTGTATTTAATGAAAAATAATTCTTCAAACAAGATTTGCATTTTTTTCTAGTAAAACTTCTATAACCTCTCCTACCCCTCCCCCCAAAAAAATCGGAATTGGAAAAAATAGTCACTTTTAATACTAACAAAATGGAAAAGGACAAAATGACAAGGTTAACTAGAGCTGAGACACAAGATCAGCACCACTATTCTCTATAGTTACACAATTTTTCAACCCACATTTTTCACCGAATCCACATCTCACCCTACATCGCGCTTACATCTCCTCCCCCCCCCCAACCCGCTCCATTTATGACGGCGATCATCTTCCTAGCAGGTATGTGAACTCAACACCATTTCCAGCAGACAATCCACTGCAAATGTCTCAGAAGTGACTGGGTCAGGGAATTAGGAAATGATCGAGCAAGTGAGAAGTAAAACAAATACAAGTTTTAGGAAAGGGAGGACGGAGGGTGTCCTACAGCGGGGTATAGGGTGCGGGTGAGGGGTGGGGAGGTAGGAGGAGCCCTGGGTCGAGAGCAAACGGTCTCGAGTCAGTGGCAAGCTCCACAAGGAGAGGTGTAAAAGAAAAAAATAAATTAGGCAGTTTTTAGCCCGAAGAAGGGGACTCCCTGGTCAACGGCGGGAGGCGGGCCGCTCAGGAGGCCGGGGCGGGGGCGCAGGAACTCACCACCTGGTAGCGGCCAGTCCCCGGCTGGTGGTGATCCATCCTGCCCGGCTCGGGATCCGGCTTCCGAGCGGGCGAGTCGTCTCGGTTCTCGACCCCCTCGTCCACCCCCGTCGCCGACGTCGTCGCCGACGTCGTCACCGCAGCGCCCCTTCCGCCTCTGTTTCTGCCGCCGCGGTCGCCCGGACGGGCCGCTTCACTTCCTGTCGCTCCCGCAGCAGCCGCGGAATCCTCCGCGTCGGCCACCGCGCAGTGAAGCCCCAGAACGACGCGCGCGCTACTGGGCATGCTCGGAATGGTTGCGCATGCTCGTTGGGTCCTCAGGCGTCCCATTCGCGTCGCAAGCAGGGGAGGTTGGGCTGGGTGGGAGGAGATGGAAAAGTAAGACGAGTCCGGGGAACTGTCTAGGTTGTTGGGAGTGGGCGGCGGCAAAGGGAACGGAAAAAAAATATCACCGTCCTTGATAGGTCTTTACTATTGGACGGGTTTCGCGCAAGCACAGGCAGGTACACAGTCACACCACGCAGAGACCAGAGTGGAGGAGAAAGGGAACGCATACCTAGAGCACCTGAGGTCGGGTCACCACCCATTTACCCAACACGTCCTCTTATTACTCACCCAGCATAGGACAATGCAGGGAGATCCGTCTCTAGGACGTTCCTATAACGCGCATTCAAAATCATTAGTGAGGTAAGGGATATCTTTTTAAATATTGTTTTGTCCCCCTCTTGGTAGTATGAGATTTAAGAATCTAACAGGGACTCTTCAACCACGCTCTTAATATCTCGCCAAGGAAGGAGGTCTCTGGAGAGCCCTAGATTACTGGAAGGATACAAGAATATAATGAAATAAGATAGGACTGTTTTGTCATCCTACTCAAATAATTCCGAAGGATTTAACAATAAATTTGTGTACTATCTAAGTGTCTGGTTAACCACACATGACCTACTATGTGTGAGTATCTCCCAAAGGCCACAAAGCATGTTTTTCTAGGGAGTAGAAGAGTATGATGGGACAAAATAAAGTACCTTTTAACCCAAAGACCTGCTTTCTATGCCCTGAAAACTATGATCCCACATAATCTGGCCCAGCTATCTCTTTTACTTTACTTCCTTCCTGAATCTCCAAAGGACATTCCTGGAATGAAAAAGGCCACTGAATGAGCCTGATCAGCTAGTTAAAATAGCAAAAATACAATAAAGACAGAAACTCATTGAGAGATCATCACCAAAAAAATTTAAACCTTCTTGACAATTTTATTCAAAGCATTGACTAGTTCTTCCTATTTTTACCATCCTGACACATCTAGTGGTAGAGAGCATGAATAGGCTAACAATAAAAAGAGACAATAATATCATACTTAAATGTCTTTAAACTTGTTTTCTTTTGATCTAAGTTCATATATTTTAGATTCGAAGACGATGAAATAGAACATTTTCTTGTATTATTGTACAAGAGGTCACCCTCACAATTTCACCCCAAATGGTATCATCTTTCATGGTCAAAACAACAGTATCAGCAAAATGAAGTTAGATTCCTACATCACTTATGACCTATACTGCTCCTTTAGAACTTAATTTTATATGTGCTTGTGTTTTCATAAACCATTTATATGTCCATTTGTTGTTTCTCAAATACACTACTGCTCAGGGCAGAGGCCATTTTTTACACCTAACACACCCAGATCAGTACTGAGAACATAATGGTAAAAGCTTAAAGATCTGACCAAAAGTAGACATCCTGAATCCTGTTAGGGTGACAGATTCTTTCAATTTTACCCTCCTCCCAAGTTCTGTGAACATTTTGCTAATCTAGAGAGCAAATGACAAAATTCAATGGGAGAGCACTTTTTCAGTGAAGAAGAGGAAGACAAAGAGGGGAAGGAAGTAGAATAATAACTAATGGATATTGAATCCTTCCCAAGCTGGGGGCTGCATATGTTAGATCATTTTATCCTCACAATATCTCCTTGCTGTAGGCATGACTATAATCCCTGTTTAACAAATCAGTAAGTAAGTCATCAAGAGGTTCAGGAACTTGTCCAAAGCCAAATCACTAGCAAATGGTCACAGACTCCAGAGTCTCCTCTATATTAAGCACTATGCTATAATATACCCTAAAAAAAAAAAAAAAAAAGCATCACAAAGAGCCAATCTGACTTCGTTAAGTCTACCTTCTTGATCTATATGAAATAAATGATTTTTTCTCATTATCCCCAAAAGAGCCACACTGAGCTCCTTTTGCCCATTTTACAACTAAGCCAGTGTGACCTGTAGTAGCCCATCACAAGGGAGGCCCTGAGTTGTCCCACTAAGAGCAATGTATTTAGGGTGAAATGGGAATAACAATATTCTTATCCTTTTAGAGGCCTTAAGCAACATCCAAATATTCAACCCCTAAACTTACTGGAAGTGGTGACAACTCTAGTTACCTAAGAAGTTGGTGGTAGTGTATCTCTAGAAACTACTTCAAGTGCAATTTTAGAATTTTAATGCATTTCACTAACACCTCTTGTTCTGGCCTAGTCAATTTTCATCTCCAAATACACAGCCACCCATAATTTCACGAGTGCCACGTTGCAGTACTGGGGCAGACATGGAGATAAACTGCCAGGATTCCCCATCCAGAAAACACTCTGACCAGGTGCAAGGAGTGTGATTAACCAACAACCTCCAGCTGTTAGCTATGTCGGGGTTTCCTTGAGTTTTCAACCTGAGGTCGTGTTATTTTCAGCGTGGCATCCAGTCATTGACTGGTGGTGGTACAGGTTAAGCCACTTTTGCCTGACACTGACCCTTTTAAGAGGCAATCTTTGCTTCAGAACTTCTTGCTAAACTCGTTACCTCTGCAGTATGTTGTAATGAGTCTCCCTGCCCAATCTTTTTTCCTTTCACAGATGTTAACTCCCTAATAAATCTCTTGCACTCATAAATTCATAGCAGCATCTGCTTCCTGGAGAACCCAAACTAGACGAGTGCCAAAATGTAAAGTGATAAAACACTGTTCATATCAAAATTGTGTGAAATGACTACAAAAGTCCTTTCACATAATTGATGTTTCACCTCCAGAATAACCCCCAGTACCCTCCATTGTTCCCATTTTCTCATGTGGACATAATGTGTTCCCACTCAGAATGACGTGGATGTTCTGTAGAGTGATGCTATCGAGTCCCCTTTTCCTGGGACATACTTCCCACTGGAATCCTTCCTACCTTCCCAAAAGCAGAGTCATTCCCCCCAGAGGTAAACTGCTTTCTTATCACCCTCCATAGTCTCCTCTTAGCTCAAATCGGGTATGCTAAACTCCATATACGTGTGCCAAGATAGTTTGTTGATATTCCCACCAATTAGAGAGCAGTGGACAGACATGCCATTGCCTGCAGATGGCTTTCTTCACAGGCCTAAATCACAGGTAGGCAAATGCTCCAAATTTTCCTTAATTCTTCAGTGATTTTTTAGTGTTTTATCACTTCCCCTACAACATAGAACATACAACATAGAACATGCAACATAGAACTACTCCTCAAGTAGCTGCTGATGGTTAGTGTGACCATAGATCCTAATAGTTAATTGTATTTGGAATATATATGACTTTGCATATTTATCTAGAGAATGATTAAAAGAGGTAAAATTGCATTCTCTGTCTGAAGATTTCCATCTCTACCTAATAAAAAATCACTAGCCATTATTTTCTGTACACTAAATTCTAAACTAGGTTTTAGAAAATACAAGAAATTATTGTCACTTTGGTAAATGAAAATAAGCATAATTATTACTCCAACGTTTTATCTCTGTTACCATGTATATGGATCTTTTAAGCAGTTTGGAGGCTTGGACCTCAATTTAGCTTCACATAGTGTTCCTTATTTAACTGTTTCTGAAATTCCTGTCATCTGTTCAGCTCTGTAATTTTAGAAAGAAAATCTAAGTGAGCAATTTGACAATCAGGTATCTACTTCCTTTCTTCTCTTTATTCTCATACACTATGTTGGAAGAACCTAAAATACAGCTAATGTTTTTTTATCAGTCAGGGTTCAACCTAAGAAAAGGAACCAGTAGAAGATATATATTAAGAGATTTGTTGCAAGGAATTGACTTACACTGTTGTGAGGACTGGCTAAGCCTTCAAAATCCATAGTACAGGCCACTGGAACTCTAGAAGAGTTCTAGAAGCTGCTGTCTTCTTCTTCAGGAAGGCCCAGTTCTGTTCTTGACCCTTCAACAGATTAAATCAAGTCCACCCAGATTATACAAGATAATCTCCTTTGCTTAAAGTCAACTGATTTGGACTTTGATCATAATATCTACAAGATACCTTCACAGCAACGCCTAGATTAGTGTTTGAGTAATTGGAGCTATAGCTTAACCAAGTTAACACAGAAAAATGAATATCACATGTTTATTTAAGTACTATAAGTTGGGGGCACCTGGGTGGCTCAGTCGTTAAGTGTCTGCCTTAGGCTCAGGTCATGGTCCTAGGATCTTGGGATCGAGCCTGGCATCAGGCTCCCTGCTCTGCAGGAAGCCTGCTTCTCCCTCTCCCACTCCCTCTGCTTGTGTTCCCTCTCTTGCTGTGTCTCTCTCTGTCAAGTAAATAAAATCTTTAAATAAATAAATAAATACTACAAGCTGAAGGGAAATCGGACAGGGAGACAAACCAAGAGAGACTATGGACTCTGAGAAACAAACTGAGGGTGCTGGGGCGGGGGTTAGCCCGGTGATGGGTATTAAAGAGGGCACATATTGAATGGAGCACTGGGTGTTATACGCAAACGATGAATCATGGATCACTACATCAAAAACTAATGATGTAATGTATGGGGATTAACATAATAAAATAAAATTTAAAAAAATAAATACTATAAGCTGAAATTATCTCTGTACAATAAAGGATAAAGAGAGAGAGAGAGAGAGACCAAAGAGAGAAAAGTTCCAGAGAGTTATTAAAATAAATTTCCATATTAAGTATTTCCTATCAGCCTTATTTTATATATGTACTATTATATTTGGAGGAGTTTCTCAGAATCCATAGTCTTTCATGGTTCATCTCCCTGTCCGATTTCCCTTCAGCTTATAGCAATTAGAAAATATCTGAATTATTTTTTATTTATTTATTTATTTATTTGAGAGAGAGAGAGAGAGCACGAGAGGGAAGAGGGTCAGAGGGAGAAGCAGACTCCCTGCCGAGCAGGGAGCCCGATGCGGGACTCGATCCCGGGGCTCCAGGATCATAACCTGAGCCGAAGGCAGTCGCTTAACCGACTGAGCCACCCAGGCGCCCGAAAATATCTGAATTCTGATAAGCTGTCCTAACACTATTTTTATTTAGCACTTTCATTTTTTGTTTAGTCATGAGCAACAAATATGAGCAAATCAACAGCCATTTTGCCTTAGGGATTACTTATTTC